AATTTCGGAAAGCACTTAGCAAATACTCGATTGAGGCTAGTTTTAAATTTAATTATGTAAAAAATTATAAATCAAGGGTTATAGCTGAGTGTTTCTTTAAGTATTCTTCTGGTTGTGGGTGGTATATCAATGCAACAGTGAAGAAAACTCCTAATTTGTTTTTTATATTAGAAAATTAGACAACGAACACAGTTGTGGTGTGGATCCACGAGCGACAGATAACAAGAGGATGAGTTCTAAATTGATTGCAGATTTGATGGTTAATCGTGTTCGTGGACATACCACGTTGCGTCAAATAGGGGGCAGTTGCTAAATTTTTTTCTAATTATGGAGTCATTATATCTTATAATAAAGCATAGGAAGAAGTTGAGAAATCAAAAGGTATACTTTTGGGGGACCACTCATTATCGTATCAACAATTATGTTGGTATGTGGATGCAACAAATTGTACTAATCTGGACAACCAGATTGTGTTAGATTGTAATCATGATAATAGCCGTTTCAAAAGGTTGTTTGTTTATTTTAAGGATTGTATTAAAAGGTTTAATTATTATCGACTAATACTTTTTTTGGATGGCACATTTTTGAAAGGCATGTATAGAAGTAATCTTCTATTGGCAACAGCAAAAGATGGCAACCAAGGTAAAGTTTAATACAAATTTTAGAGTGATAAATTGGGTGGTTATGTTAAAATGTAATCGTTATGTTACACTATATTTGTTAAATTATTAATGGTGATTAAACACAGTGCAACAATGTAAGTTACACTATGTTTTTATTTTAATTTTCACGAATATTTAAGTGGTTTATTTCAAGTTTGTTTCCTTTAGCATTTGCAGTCGTTGATTTGGAAAATGAATCAAACCGGTTTTGATTTTTAGAACAGCTGTCTAAGATATTGGATCACTCTTAGGTTATTACGTTTGTATCTGATCGTAACTTGAGTCTGTTAGAGGCAATGCCAAAAGTTTTCCTAATTGTTCATCATGCATTTTGCTTGTAGCATTTGAAAACTAATTTGCAGGATAAATTGAGTTGTGCTCGTTTTTTCAATGTATTCCGAGAACACATAGTGATTTTGCTACATGAGTGTGCTTATGCACCAACACAATCGTTTTTTAATGAGAAGATTGAAAAGTTTCGTCGTGAAGGTAGTTCTAATGTGGATAGGTTCCTGTCCAATCTTCCATTTGAACATTGTACAAATGCTCATTTTACGGGGAAGCATTACGGTGAGATGTGTTCTAATACTACAGAGTCGTTTAACGCGTGAATTTTGAAACTTCGCCATTTATCAATTACTAGTATGGTTAACACTATTAGAGGACAGATAATGAATCAAATTGGTCGAAGGATGATAATAGTCTCACAATGGAATGAGAATTTATGCCCCAATATGTCTTCGAGATTACAAGCTGCATTTGATGAGGGGAGATCCTGGACTATACGAGTCTCAAATAACCAAGTGTTCAAAGTGATGGCATATCCTTTGGTGATAGTTGATATTGTGAATGACAAATGTTCATATTGTCAGTGGCAAATAAATAGGTTTCCTTGTTCACATGTTGTGTCGGCAATACGAAAAAGTGGGGCGGAATATGTTTGAATTTGTTGATTACTATTATCATGTGAGCACATACCAGAAGTAATATTCTGAACCTATTTTTCCAATCTCAACTATATATTGTGTTGAAATTTCGCAGGGAGATGTTAATATTTTGCCTCCATATTCTAAGAAACAACCTGGTAGACCAAAGAATAGCAAAATTCGGGAGGAAACTCATTAGACGAATTTGTTGTGGCCGGTGTGGGTGCTTAGACAGTCACAACAAGAAATCTTGTAACGAGCCATTGTAACTTAGTAATGCTATTATTTAATGACATTGTTCACTGTTTTAAGTTCAGTACAATTTGTTTTTACAATCTTTTTTTGGGCTTGTTTGTTTTAGTGATGTTTTCACATTTTAAATTATATGCTTTTTTTTTGGTCTAACATTTGATGGATTACTCTATATGCAACCCACATTGGCACTGTAAAGTGAATTTTTACACTATTGGAAGAGTGTATCAATGACAGTGAACAGTGTAACAATATCTTTCTCCAAACATAGTCTCAGAAGTTCTTGTAATTGTTTCCAGCCAAATGGCCAAAATCGCACATCTCCAAAGAGTTTTATCTGTGGTCACACACGGATTGCTATGGTAATTCAAGTATTAAATAGCACATGTTAGGAAGTGTATATACACAAAGCTAGAGTATTCTTGGTAGCTGACTTGGTGCAACCTCCGACCTTTAAAAGCTTGTCATGGCTTAATATGAAAACAATAAATATGAGGAATTGTGTCATTTTGGTCTACAATGAATTTGGATAGTGAATTTACACACTGTTAGAACAGTATATCAATAAAAGTGTATCGAGAATAGTGTAACAATAATATACACACAACTAGCTCTACATTTTCAAGTTCTCCATAAAAACACTAAAACAAAGAAAGCACAATTTATCAAAAAAAAAAAAAACAAAGAAAGCACTAGGAATCAGTAAAGTGTCGCACACCGCAACTTTCAAACTTGGTATTGATATTACTAGTTATAACTTTGTCAATGATATTTGATCACATATCTTACATAATTAACCTTATTTTTTTAAAGGGTTGTAATTAATCTCTTTTCATTTTTTTTTTGGTTTGCATAGTTATTGTATATTTGCTTTTGGTTCATCTATGTTTAATCAATCTTTAATTATTAAATATGATGAAAAAAAATAAAAATATATCAAATTATTTTTGCCTATTAGAAGACAAATTAAAACTTATAGTTAGAATGTTTTCACCCTAGAATATATTTCTAGCTTCGCCACTGGATCGATTCTTATGTTATTTTTCTAAGGTTCGAACTCGGGTTTGGTAAAATCAAGCTTGATTTTCTTTCACTAGAATATGAAAATTGATTATATAAACAAAAAAATAAATAAATAAGAAACACCATTCTTAAATTAAGCATCTGAAATCAGATGCTTAAGAAACACCTTGACTGGTTTGATCAGTTATATTTTTATAATGTCTTTATGGGTTTGGGAACGCCATTTATAAAAAAAAAAAAAAAGGTACAGTAAAATTACTCATGGAGTAATAAAATGGTATCCACCCATCATTTTTCGGTACTATACCAACGAGTGAATGAATTGTAAAGATGATGGGGTTGTGGGAACACCATTTCCTAAACATGATATAAGAAGACTATCCATATCATTTTCCAAGGAAATGTTAGGGTACTACAATTTTATTTTTTGGTACTACAACAAAAAGAGAAAAAACTTCAAAAAGTAACAAGTTTTTTTCTATAAAAAAAAGTGATAAAATTCACCCAAAAATATAATAAATGAGTCTAAAAAATGGTACGTGAATCAGGTAAAAAAATAATAAACAGTATCAAATTTTTTTCGGTGGCGCAATGTCCCCTCCTAATCCTGGTGGGAATTTGGGATATTTTCATAGAATGAGATCCGCTTCAGTACACTTTCTCTTCAAATTTTATTTTTTTGACATATTATCAACCATGTATTCAAGTAAAACCCATTGTATACAAGTGAGTCTTTCACTCATTAATGCCTTCATGAACGAAAGAACCCAACAAAACACCATTCACTGAGCAGCTGTCTCATTTTGGATTTCAATGGTGTTGTATTTGACTGTGAAACTCATTCAAATACTCCCATATTCAAGCACCAGTTGCCACAAATTGAAAATAGTTTTACAAGTTAATGCTAACGATATTAAAGCCAAAAAATGCAAGCAAAAGTACAGCATTTTCAACATTATGTTTATAACAATAAAGATACATAGTTTATAGCATGAAAAGGCAAAACACTACAAGCATACAGAGGCAAGGGTATTAATAGAACATGGCAGAGTGGCCTTGAGGCCAGAAAGTTCAAAAGCAACCATAACGTCGTGTCCAGAAAAGTTTGAAGCAACGATAGAAGAAAACTTCAAACAGCTTTGATTATCCGTCTCCGTCTTATCAGATCAGCAACATACCTCGCAAAAGCATTGATTGGCTTAGTGAGGTCAGCATTTCCATCTCCGCCACACCTAATTTTGATCCGAGCAAGGTAATCAACTGCTATCCAAGCAATGCTCAACATTACAGTCTCCACATCCCCGGCCCGGCCCAACTATGGAAGCAAAAAAGTTTGGGCTTTAGGCCCAATAATTTTAGGAAAGCACCTTAATTTTAGGTAAATAGTTGGCCACTTTATAATTTTAAGTAAGTTCTACAAAAAAGTTTTAGTTAAAATTTAAGGTCAATCAAAAAATTTAATTTTAATAATTTTTTGAATCCATGATTCATCCCATAATAATAAAAACCAAAAAAATCAAAATTTTATTAAAAAAAACGGATGATATACTCAAAATTCATGTCATAATTCACCTATCTTTTATTAACCACATCTCCTCTCTCTCTCTATAAAGCCCCTCCCTCTCATTTTTATTCTCACTCTTCATATCAATTTCAAATAATTTTTTTTTTAATTATTGATTTAACATAAAAACTAAAATTATTAAATGTTGATAGTTTAAAAAAAATTATCTTGATTTCGGATGTTTCTTAATACATAACAATTTTTTTGACATTGATCGTTTAGATTTATTTTAAAAATAAAATATTTTAAAGCAGATTTTATAAATGAAAGAAAATACTCCAATTGAGACACCAATTTATATAAAAACATTAGATTTTTTTCTTCAAATGTATGCATTTCTTATAGAATATTTTTATTAATTTTTGTAATAGTTACTTCTACAAAAAGAAGTTTTTCAAAATTAAAATCGATAAAATCTTATTTAAAATTGACTATCACAAGAAAAAATAATTAGATTAGTGATATTATCAATGAAAAAAAATAAGATAATAAAATTTAAATATAAAAACTCAATTTATACTTTTACAACTCAAAAAATGAAAAAAAATTAATTGTAATCAAAATTTTTTAACACTAAAAAGGCTTCAAAATTTCTGACTTGGATGACTGAAATTCCTCTTTCTCCATAAAGTAGGGATACATTTTCGGTTTGAGTTCAAATGGCATGGTGACAGTCTTTCCAGTTTTGAGGAAATCAACTGCTGTGGCAGCAAGCTCTGCCAATTTGATGCACTTCTCATCCAATGCTCCATATTCACTGAGGTCAGCGTGAACCACATGAACATTCCAGATCGTACCCAGATTCTCATTAACCATGTGTTTAGTGAAATATTTTCTTATGTCCTGTAAATTAAAAAAATAACATTCGCATCTTATCAGAAAAAAACAAACATACAACAAGCCATTGGTAAGTTCCTGATATCCAAACTCATCGCCCAAACTCTATAAGGTTTCTTTGCTATCTTTATGGTGGTGACCTTAGATTGAAATCTCTCCGGTAAATATCTCAATATCTTCTAAAGCGAGACCATATCATTATACTTCTTTCGTACGGGGAAAGATGAATTTACTATGTCACCAAGTCGTGCATAGAATTTAGTGAAGGTCTCACTTTGCTTCATCCTAAGTGCCTCAAATTGAGAAATCAATCTTCGACGTTTGGACTTCTTTACAACACTTGTTCCCTCATGGAAAGCCTCTAAAAAGGCGTCTATATAGGGTGAATTCCCCTTCGTATGCGTCTATTTCCGATTCCCCGAGCTCAACCAATATCTGGCATCGCCTATAATAAATTGGGAAAAACAATAAGTAGAAATGGCAACATTAGAACTAGTGAATAAAATAGAAATAGAGTAGAAAGGAGGGCCTGGTCAGCAAACTCCCTCTAACTCAAGAGAACAATACTATGGAACTCCACAGAATTTCTGAGGAGTTGGATGCACGGAGGAGAGAAAGCAATGGAACTGATCCCATAGACGTCTACCATAAGGCTGATGCTTTAATTTGAGTGGGAATGAATGGGAATGAAGGAACAAAAGTCTTCTCATAATCGATACCAAAAGTGAGTCTGAATTTTCCTCAATAATGGTCTTTCCGTCAAGAAGAGGTTTGCAACCCCTCCATATCTGATAAGGTAATAAACGCATCTTCTGCAAGACTGGCAATTCCTTAGACATGGCCTGATGCCACTGAGGGATCCTTATTGCCTCACTCTCATTTTGCGGCTTCAAAGAAGAATGAACAATGGCAAGCACTATGTTGGGTCAGACACAAACTATATGGGTGTCACAAATAAGACTTTTCACCTCATACTTCTTTGAAGTCTCACACGTACAGATTCTCTGGAACTCATTTGGAGACATGACATTGAATATCACATTCGATCATTTCGAGTTCTAACCACTCAGCCCAGTCATCCTTGTCTATTTGTTAACAGGGTTTTGCAATCTCGCCTGCCTCAGTGGTCTCGGTAGGAGGTTTCCATCCCCATTGGGTGTTCAACACTCATACTCATGGATGAACTTAAAGAATGCTCTCATTCTAGCCTTTCAATAGACATAGTTGGTTCCATCAAACAAAAGAGGTCTTGATATTGAGCCACCTTCTCATTAGGTATCCATCAATAACAAACTCATTGTTATGAAGAACCTCAAGCAAACACAAACTAGGTCAAAACTCTCAGAAATACATACAAAGTGCTTCTCGGGGTACTGATGCTTTGATACTAATTGAGAGTGCGAGTTGGATCGCCCCAAAACGCTTGTGGAGTCTGCCTAGGTTGACCTAGAGTAGGGTTAATAGGTCTTAAGCACTCCTTTTGTAGAAATTACTCCTAATTAATAACCTAATTCATTCATTTTTCAATTAATTGATCGATTCATGCTTACACCCCTCAATCTGACACACAAACCCATTAGATAAACAAATGTATGTAAAATAGTAAAATTCAACAATCAATCAAAATGCATAATTCACCAAATTTATCTCAACAAAGCCCTTCCACAAATTCAACAGACTACAAGATCACCAATTAATGAATGAACAATTCAAGTATTAGCTCTTTGTTGATGACATTCCGGATACGATACTTGTCGGATTCTCGATGATCCATATCAGATAACATGACACAAACCCGAATATTCACACAAACAAATGGTTCCAATTTGAGTTCGGTAAATTTTGGCATGACATGTTGTGACACGACACTTCAAACAAATCCATTACTCTGATCAAATCTAATTTCGGAGTTTTAATCCATCTATCTATCAATAGAATCTCCAGATGCCAAATCATCTCTTCATGCATAATCATTTGAGAGCATTAAGATGGGTTGGGTCTCATAGAAATGTGGAAATGTGAATACATAAAATAAACCTCCAAATGCTAACAAGACTGTTCATTACTAGGTAACACAAACAAGTGGTTAATAGTTGCTTATAGAATTACAAGCATTAACACCACTACGACAGTAACTAGAACAATGCCTTAAGTAGTGAGGACTGATGGAAGATCCTCTGACCTGGTGCCAAGGATTTTTGCATTGGTGTCTGGAAAAAATTCAATCCCTGGCAATGTACCAATCATTCCATTGCTAGAGATTTCAACGGGGTAGCGAAGGAGATGGACAAGAAGATTGCCGATGTATGTATCAGTTGAGTAAAACTTCCAATTTTCATCAGCAATTCGATTAACAAACTGGACACAATCCAGACTCTCTGGGTGCACAAAGATGTCGGGCACCATGCTCATATGCTCAAACCATAAGGACAGAAAAAATCGAATATTCTACCCCTGGCTAGTTTTGTAGTTGCTAAATGATGGGGTTGATAGGCTCCCATTGCAATCTCGGAGTCCCTGGCACCATCCATTGATCTTTGGTTGATGTTCGCTGATCCGATGATTATGTATTCATCATCAACTACAAAATAAAAAACAAAGAAAAAATAGAGCAGAATTTTAAAACTTAGTATTAGATCTTAACAAACTCCATCATGAAGTATTTTGTTTGTCAGAATTTTTTAGTTCTTAATTAACTTAATGGCAATGTGCACATGCAAACATTTTGAGAGATTTGTATACTTACCTATCATCATATTTGCATGAACATAGATCATGAAGCGACGCGCCTGCTGAGCTCTGCTATAATCAGTATCAGGATCTGATTTCTCTAGAGTTGTGTATTCTCCCATCTTTTGGCCCTCACGATTCCCGAGGCAAAAAAAAAAGTCAAGCAGTCCCTAAGGTTTGCAGTGAGACCCTTAGCACTCAAGGCTTGAGCAATATCTGTGTACATCATCTCCATTGTCCTCTTTTGCCAGTCTAAAATTGCTTGAACAGAACCGCTCATAGGTATACCCTCTGGCCACATTGGAATTACAATGTAGACAGTGAACCTCTCTCCTGCTTCAATTTTGCTAACAATTTTCAAAGAAAGCTCCTTTGGTATGAGATGCAATGCACCAATGTCCTCAACCTTAATATCGTCTGATTTCCAATTGTACGAGCTGCCAACAAAATACTGATTTTTGATGTAAATAAAGTTCTTTGCTCGGCGAATGGCATGGATGTAAGCATCTTGGATGCTTCGATCAATGATGTTATCTTTCCCGTTAACAAGGCCTACTGCAGCAGCAGCAACAGGTTTTTCTGGGAAGCCAGAAACTGCCCCACCATCAATTGATTGAAATATTTGAACGTTCCATGTTTCGAGGTCCTATGATGTTGTAACAGGCAAAGGGCGAATAATGAATTTATCAAGTTCAGTTACAAGAAAAATATACTTATCTCCAACTTGTTTCTTCCACCTTTGCTCAAAATTATACAGGACATCCCATGCAACTGTCCTTCTAAGCGGCAATGAATATCATGCCAGGGTTCCCTGGGACCACCTTTTCTGATTGAAGAGCCTAAAAAGTTTGGCTGATAGAAATCATCATGATGAACGGTGTCCAAAGTACTAAAAAAGGGATGATCTAGAGTATCATATCGCCCGTTACAAAGATCAATGCCACCTACAAAACTCACAATCCTCCTCTTCTGTGATCTTCTTCCCGGAATTTCACTGTCCACAATTATCGTCTTCTAATGGTGAGTGAACATGGTGGAAACCTTGAGTCCCTGAAATATGCTCTCTCCATCGTCTGGATTACGTGGACACAACACACAATGAACTTTTGTTTTTTGGACGAAATCTCCAGTCTCTTTGTCATGTGTAGCCATTAAACCATCCTTCTTCAGTGCCTCCACTGAAGTTCTATCATCCCAAACAAGCATAAGGACATTCACCCCCTTATCTGCCTTCTTTTTCAACAGTTCACCAAGTATGATCTCTCCTCCTGGCTTGGGCATCGTTGGATCCCTTACCAAGGAGATTTTAGTGTAAACCGACCATCTAGTTATATAAATCAAATGTTTGGCATTGTTGATTGCATCAAAGATGTCCTCCCAACATCTTCGGGGCTCGTAACACGGGCCTTCTGAACTAAGAAACATGGGAAATCCATCACCTGGAACATGGGCATCTTGATACAGTGTGATTTGGCAACCTTGTCTTTGCTTGAAGAATGTGTAAGGGACTCCTCCAAATGTAGGACTTTAGATTCCTTGAGACTAATTACTATCTTGGTTTATATTGAAAAACTGTAGGTTGATATGCATTCTAGAGCCTACAGGAATAGGTTTATGATCTTCATCCAATATTTCGAGCCATTTTTCGATTACTTGGCCATTTAAAACTTCCTGAACAGGCAAATAAGCTCGTCCAATTAATGTTGTCCCAACAAGATTATCTTCTTTTACTGTGAATATGATACTAGAAACCATGTGGGCACAATAAACATGAAAGGACTCATTCTACCGAGGGTTGGAACTTTGATTTTTAATCTTTCTGGTTCGCCCAACCCGTGCCTTCTCTAAATCAAGGGTTGCATACAATCCTAAACCAGCAATCTGTGAACCAACCAACATTTTCAGTATGTTAGAAAAATGAGGTTTTACATGTTGAAACAAAGTAATCCGCAATTTTGTAAATGATGCAAGGTAGAAGAATACCTCAGGCCGACCCAACACCATTCTTTTAACTTTAGATAAAAACATTCTGGTAATCTTTCTTGGACTTGTAATCTCCAAATTTTCAGAGGAAAGGACAGAAAATGCAGGGAGGACATCAAAGATCGACACCCAATAAAATCGAACATAAACCCACAAGAGCAATCAAGAAAATAGGAAGTAAACATTAATGTTGGACATTGTTTGAAAATGTTCAAATTTTAGGACTGATAAAGAGCTAAATGCTGCTACAAATTATCAATTGTAAGGATATTTGTTAGGATTATCACAAATTGTACCCTAAAAGTTCTCTCGAATCTTAATTTACACCCTCGAAAATAAAAAATTTCAATTTGTACCCTCAAAATATAAATCTGTATTAATGTACACCTGAAGCTAACAACAGTTCAGTTTACGATCTAAAGCTAAATTGATAAATTACACCTAGTTCCCTGCATGTTTGTCACTTAATCACCTGGACCCCCTCATTTTTGAATTATTACACTTGCACCTCTTGAGATTCCAAATATAACTAAAATTGTTCCCCTTATTGGGCATCCAAATATTTCTATTTAAGTGATGTATTGCATTGAATATAAAAAATATTATATCATTTAAGTACTCTTGAACATTATATAATACTTGCATTGTATTGGGTATTCAAATGGTAAGCTTAATTTTGAATTTTAAAGTACAACAGACCCACAATATAAAATATAGTATGAAAATTATAGTTATTTATTAAAACAACATCATGTTTTTTAATGGTTACATTAACCGATATTAATGACAGGGGATTATGTATTACACGCGCACAAACGTCAGAAGATATAGGTGTAATATTCTATTGGTGAGGAGGTCCAGTGATTAAGTCACAAACTTAAGAGGATCTAGGTGTAATTTACTTATTTAGTTTTAGACGACAAACTGACGGTTGTTCGCTTCAGGTGCATATTGATACAGATTTATATCTTTGAGGGTGTAAATTGAGATTTAAGAGATCTTTCGGAGTACAATTTGCGATTCACCCTATTTATTATACATGGTGAGTGATAACAAATGATTTATATGCTTGGGCTGCTACAAATATTATTAGCCTCAAAACAATACGATCTGAAATCTTTTATGTTAAATTTATGTTGAAAAACAAATATTAGTATTCATGATGTGCAACATGTAAAGCTCTCTCATGAAAAATCATTGTAGATTGACATGCTTATGATTTGAACTATCCTAAATTCAAGTTGGTCAGGAACCTACTCAACAAAGCTAAAGATGTTAGGATGCTCTGTCTTTGATTGGACTGAAAAGAAAATTAATCGAGATATGCGTACACTTAAAAAGTACACACATAGGACATAGATAGGACACTCAAACACTATATTTCTCAAAAAAGTAGAATACAAATACGTTAGGGATATGCCACAAAATATTATATTTTATATATAATTTGTTATAAATATAGTGATAATGATATGCAATTCATAAAATATTTAGTATTTTATTATAAGTAAATCTTATGTATAACCATCACACGTGAATTTTTAAACTAAAACATTATCATAATAGTCAATAATAATCAATTTTTTTGGTAAATAATGTGTACTTAATATATAATTTAAATAATTGCTCTTATTTTCTCAATTCCTCTTTTTTAAACTTTTATGCATCTTTCGCTTTAATTATTATATATAGAGTACACTTTAACATGTCTAGTGTTGGTAATTATATGTTCTTAAAATTTTAAACTTTATTAATCACATTTTAACATATGTTTATTGTCAAATAGTAGACACGTTTTAAAGGAATATCAAACATGTCACCAAAAAAGTGTCGTAGTCTGAAACTAAAATTCTATCATTTAATTATGGACACGGATAAAAGAGTATCGAACAAGTATCCAAGAGTGTTGGTGTCCAACACCGATACGTCACCTTCTTGAGAGTATCCATACTTCATAGACATATACGTAAGCTGGTTCGCACACCCCTGAATATAATGCACCAAAAAAAAAAATCCCAAATTTGGAGCTCCTACTTGGTCTCTCTAAAGGTTTATCCTAATAATTCTGTTTATGTGGAAAACAAGAGTGCATGCTTCTAGTCAAAAGCTCTAGAAGATCGGCATAGCCAGCTCAATAAAATCGATTGGGGTTCCTTTCCAAAGATAGTATAATTAAGTCCTTCAATCTTTTTTGTCGCATAGTTGATTGCAAGTAAATTTTTATTTTGAATCCTAAGAAATTTATTTTCGTAGAATCTACTGTTTCAGATATGGTCAATAACAGTAATGTTATGCTGACCAAATTTTGGGACCAAATTTGGAGCCCAAATTATTTGGCAGCATATTACTTGGAGTCTTTAATGAGGCCTAAATGACATGACACCAAATAAAGAAGTCCAACTCAGCTGCCATGTCATTTGGGTTCCAAATTTGGTCCCAAAATTTGATCAGCATAGCATTACTCAGTCAATAATATACTATAAACAATAAAATAGTTCTAATGTTTCAACTATTTAGTTTTATATGTAAAATTTTTTTAAGACTTTTAGTTTTGATAACAAATCTTATTAATCGATATTGAAAAAATAATCATCTTTCAAAAAAATTTCAAATGTTAGAACAATCGTTTTTGAACTCTTACCATCTAATATTTTTGTTTTTCACACTAAATACAAGCAAAATATCTTGTTGAATTGTAAATTATTCAAATTTACCATGATTTACTATTTATAAAGAATAATGATTCAATAAAAAACTCTTTTGGTGATTTTTTTTTTTTGAAAGAAACGGTAGTGTTTTTTATCGAAGGCAACTATTTGAAAGAATGAGAGGCACTAAGATTTCGGGTGCTCTCTCCTCCCATACATTAATATGGTTAACAAAACTTGCATTTCTTGCTAATTTATGTGCGACAGTATTCGCAGACTGATATACAGTAGAAACAATAAAACTATGAAAATCTTGAGATATCATATAAACTTGATAAATAATCTTTAGGTGATTGCGTAACAAATAATTGAAGCAACAGAGAGGGAAAAGATATGCTGGTAAATTTTTTCTCTTATAGCATTACTCAATTACTAGATAAACTAAGACTTGTAATATAGTTGATAGATGTCGAGAAAGAGTTATCCATAGTCCATAATTGTGTATAGTAGCGAGGTAATGTGTAAAAGTAGGGATGAAGCATGGATTAGTATAAGACTTAGAAACAAAAAATAGTGCGTAGAATAAAAGATACCTATTCACCATAATATTTCTTGTACGAAATTAGAGGACCTAGTGCATTAAATTTGTTGGAGTAATAGCAAACATCATACAATATTGAGACATAGTTATTGTCTGTACCTGAAGGTACAAAGTAATAAAAAATGGTAAACAATAAACATATTTGTATTTATATTCAAAATCAAATTACAAACATAGAGAACAGATAAATGAATTTAAATATCGATTTGTAGAGGGAGTGAGAGGTGGTGGGCAGCAATGGTGGTGGTAGGAGACGGTGTTGGTTGTGATGGGTGGCAATAATCGTGGTGGCAGCGATGGTAGTGGTGGTGGCGGCGACAACGATGGTGGCTGCGGTGGCGACAGTGGCAATGGTGGTGGTGGCAACTACGGCGGGTGGTGTTGGTGATGGCGGTGGTGATGGCTGCAGCGGGGGTGACGGCGGCAGCAGTAGTGGCTGTGGTGGTAGTGGTAGTGGCAGTGGTAGTGGTGGTGGTGGTAGAGGTAGTGGTGGAGCGGTTTCAAACACTTTTTTTTTTAAATATTTATGAGAAATAATTTTTAAAAGTACTTTTAAAAAGTCACTCCAAATACACCCTTAGAGATCTATTTTTCCTATTAAATTTAGAGTATTAGCCGTTAGATTAATTTTAAAGTAAAATTTAAAATGATCTCAACCGTGAATAGCAAAAATCATTTTACTTATCTTTTAAGATTTGAATTGTAAACTATTTTATTATATAGATATTGCTAACTCAATTATGGTGGTACATAAAGCTTTGTACTATCATATTTTTCTCTCCTTTAATTTTGTCTCAACTTGGTAATTTTGAACCCCTAGTTCTCTTCCACTACCATATAAAATTAATCAAATTAGGAGAGAGGACTTGAAAAACGTTTCCACTCTATTTGCTAACTCTTTCAAAACTTTACTTATCTATTTACAAAACATGGCTTCATTCTTATGAATCTTGTCAAAGTCTAGACTGACCACAAAATTAAAGACGATAAAAATAATGGGGCGTTGACATGGCAATGCTAATTAAGTAATATGACAGTGCTAACTAAGC